AATGGCAATTGAACGTGCTATAGGATCGCTGAAAATGCGCTTTAGAATACTTCTGGACTGTTTGCCATTAACAGACATTAAAAAAGTTCCAGAATTCATTTTAGCATGCTGTGTGTTATATAATATTTGCCTACTCCAAAATGATGAGATGCCTATGGGTATACAGTTCGCATACAACGAAGATGTTGATTTTAACGGTCATGGCAATGCAGTAGAATTAGGAAAAGAAAAGCGAAACAGAATTATGAATGCGCTACAAATGAAAATATAATTAAGATAATAATAAGTGAAACTAAAGTTAGATAAGAATGTGAAAATAAATGATTTTTAAAAACCGTGTTAAAATAGATATTTTTTATTTCATACTAACATACAAATATATATTATATATTAATATTGCATAAGAGATCATATTTCAATACCTTTGAATACTGATATATCACATTTAAGTATCAGTGCACGTACAATTACAGTAACGATAAATGTTTTTATTTCTTATTTGCTAAAGTTCGCATGACATCAAGTAACGATTTTTGTATTTGTATGTTATCGTTATGCATTTGTTCGCGCTTTTTCTTTCTTTCTTGGTATCTTGCTTGTCTTTCTTCTTCTCTTTTCTTCTTTTTTTCGTCTCGCTGTTTTTTATCATTTTCCTTTTCACACTTCAAATCATTAATAAAATTTTCTAGAATATTTTCAACTCGTCTTTTCTTAGGTCCATCTACAATACGTTGCATTAATTAATATAAATGTTAAGATACTTATTATGCATAATATGTGAAAACAACTTTTGCTTCAATCGTGGTTTATTAATTATGTTACTTGGTGATTTTTTTGAAAGAAGCAATGGAGATGAAGATGCTGAAGATGTATCTACTAGTTTTGGTGGTGCTGGACCTTCACTTGATGCTTCAGCTAAAGGTTTTATATAAGCCTTCTCACCAATTAACGAGTCCATCACCTACAAAGACAAAATCAGTTTATATATTCAGTCTATATATGTATAATATTATATTTATACATACACACACACACACAAACACACACATACACATATACTTACTGAATAAAAACCCCAACTACTATTAGAGTTACCGCTCTTTTTGTTCTGATAATATATATTTTTATACGTTCGTTTCAAGCCAGAAAATTTTGTAGAGCATTGAAGCCCCGTAACTGTATACCTCTTGTCGACTTCTCGCATTTGGGTAGCAATTTCTCCTCAAATGACATTATGTTTCTTCATCCCAGAAGTAAAATCATGTTCTTTTTCCCTGTATAGATCG